TTTCCAACATGGCGTACACACGAGTGTTGAGTTGTGTCATGCTTGCGCTTATTTCAAGCATAATTGCGAGCATTCATTTGAATCATGCAATAATCGATATACAGGAAAACTACAAAAGAAGAAGACTAAACCTCTCAAGATTGTTATCCACAACTACAAGCACTTTTACTCGAGTAAAACGACTTAGATGCAGACATGAGAGCAAAGAGAGAAGATTCTGGACCAGACCAGGTCGTACAAGCGCCTGGTGGAACAACTTTGCCGATCAAGTGGTGATACCAGAAGAGTGGAAAGAGAACTTTCGAATGAGCAGAGACTCGCTATATAATCTAGCTGAAGAACTGAGACCATACATTCAAGGAAAAGCAACCAACATGAGGTCGCCAGTTGGTGTTGTTAAGCAAGTTGCTTGCACTCTTTATTACCTCAGTGATGAGGGACGCTTGAGAAAGACAGCCAACGCATTTGGATTATCTCTTCAGGTAGTTTCTAAGATAGTACAAAAGGTGTGCAAAGCCATAACTGTTCACCTTGGTCCTAGGTATATAGGACTACCCTCAAATGACGTGGAAGTTAAAAATTTGGTTGAAAACTTTTATCTAGCACACAACTTCCCTCAATTTTTGGGGGCTATTGAGGTTTCTATTCCGTTATGGTTAAATAGAATACAGAAACGGAAGTTTATAAAACCAGCACCAGTTACTGGATTTGCAAAATTTAACTACCTCGAAAAATGGTGACTCGTCAAAATCGCAAATATTAAGTCCCGCGAAATATTTTTGTTTCAAATACGTGAAAGTAAAGTGGCGCAAAAATAACTGATAATAATAAGGCACGCAAAAAAACTTAGAAATCAACTGTATAAAAAACAGCTGACAAGCAAAAAATGGCATTTAAGGAAAGCGCCTTCTTCTAATCATTCGTTAGTTTCTAATTTTTTGCAATGGTTGAAATAGAAAAATTACAAAAACAATGAAACATCATTGTCTGAACTGCCTTGACATGCACTTCCCGACAAGGGCAGGAGACTCATGATGCTTGGACCTGGCTGGCCTAAATTCATTGGCCACAATGACGTAAATAAACGATAGCCGAGCGTAGGGGGTCATGACTGTTAAAAAGCTACCGAAAAAGCGGTATAAATTACGAAAAACAAATAACTAATGTGGAACCCTACCTTAATCACACCATGCCTAAAACTATTTCCTTGTCACTTTTTAGCCCCAAAAATATCTCCCTCCCTGCCTATTAAATGTATGAAAGCGATCCTTGTACTTGTTTCATGCGATATTTGTACTTTACAAGGCACAGCTGGATGATAATTCTCGTTACTCTCTGTAGTACAAATCTTGTGATGTTAGTGCAGTGAAGTTGGTGCAGGATGGACTCCGGATTTTTCCTAACAGATTTTTCCTTCATTCTCCGCATCACATGTGTGCTTGATATGATATCCTGTGAGAAGAGAATTTCCTGGTTGGCTCATGACTGCGCAAGGGTTAATTATCTCTCAATATTAATGGTTCCCAAGGCTGCCTGCTGCTTGAGTTGCCATTGGTTTTTTTGTAATTGGAAGCTGTGGCATCCCGACGCTAGTATATGAGCTTGCTTCGCGTCCCTGTCACATACACTTGCTGTAGATTTCGTGTGGCTTTCAGTGTTGTCCACTTTGCACTAAACCTTGGGCTCAAGCTTCAGCGATAGGTAAGTACCTTTTTCCCATTTTGTGTAGGCAATCTCAGTTTCATAGTTAGGGGGCAGAAGGATGATGTGAACATTATTCTAAGGCGGTGAACTGATTTATATTAATCTAATTGGAAATGTGCTTAATTAACACTCGAGTGGACGCCTTCCATTTAGCTTGAAGAGCCTCGAGGAGAAACTCTTGGATTTCAAAGGGGATTGCACGTTTGGCGCAGTTAATTTATTTCTAAAGAGTCTATGTGCGTTACTTTTCTAATGTACATTTTACCGTTGCATTTCTGCTGTCATGGGGCTTTCTGTATGTGTGTAATTGGAGCCTTGAGCGTCCCTAACGCCAGTGCAGTTGCGGAATAAGCCGTTTAGCTTGAAGAGCTGTGAGGCTGTTTCCCAATCGGCTCCTTTTCCTTGAGTGAGGAAATTACATTTCAATGGAGATCACATGTTTACACATTTTGCCATGCTGTTTCTTTTTTTTATCATCATTCAAATAACAACTTTGAACTTCATTCAGACAACATCTTTTAGATTATTGTAAGATATCACATAGCAAGATAAAGATGGCCAAAAGTTTTTCAGAAAATCCGAGGCCTGAGCAACTCCGTAAGTAATTTTTTTT